AGGTCAGCAACCAAAAGGTCTGCTCTCACCACTTCCATTACTCAACACAGCACTGAAGCTTCCAGTCAGGGCAATGTTTCTAAGAAGGCATCCAGATTGGAAAGGGAGAAGTAAAACTACCTCTATTTACATGAAGTTCTACACAGAAAACCCCAAGGAATCCTCAAAAAGCTATCAGAATTCAATGAGTTTACAAGGTAGGAGAATATAAGATCAATATACGAAAATCATTTGTATTTCTATATACTCGTAATGAACCATCCAATAATGAAATTATAAAAAAGTTTAACTTATTAGTAATAACATCAAAAATAAAATATTTAACAATAGAATTATAAAACCTGAATACTCAATTTCAAAATTTACTACAAGTTACAATAATCTAGGACAGCAATTTTCAACTGGCATGTCGCAAGAATTTTTAAAACATGCAATACCTGACTGTTTAGTTGGGGGCACTGACCTCTTTTCTCTTAGATTGTCAAATTGGAAAAATGACAACAGCCAACACAACAATAGCTATCTGGTGTGAATGAATCGAAATTATATCTATTTTTTTGTCAGGGAGGCAAAAAAATATATATTTTGGTGTGCCGTAGAATTTTAGTAATTATCTTATGTGTGCCATAAGATGAAAGAGGTGGAAAATCGCTGATCCAGAGTAATTAAGTAAAAGTAAGCAAATACAGGGTGGTACTGAGACAAGAACAAAAAAATACAATGGAGTAGAACTGAAGGAACACAAACACATTTTACAGTCAATTAATTTTCAACAAGAGTGCCAAGAAAATTCAGTAAAAATAATCTAAACAAATGGTGCTTGGACAACTGGATACTCACATGCAGAAGAATAACTTTGGACTTCAACTCACACCATATATAACAAAAATTAACTCAAATGTCAGAGCTAAAACTGTAACATAACACTCTTAGAAGAAAACAGGTGTGAATTTTCATGACCTTCGATTAAAGAATGGTTTCTTATCTATGATATCTAAAGTATGAGCAACCAAAGAAAAAAACAGGTGAACTGAACTTCATCGAATTTTAAACGTTTTGTGCATCAAACACTACTGAGAAAGTGAAAAGACAACACACAGAATGGGCAAAAATACTTGCAAATACCACATTTGATACAAGCCTGATATCCAGAATACATAAAGAATTCTTACAGTTCAACAATAAAAACACAAATAACCCATTTAAGAAAGTAGACAGAGGATATGAATACACATTTCTCCAAAGAAGATACACAAATGGCCGATACACACATAAAAAGATGGCTAACATCATTAGGAAGTCTAACTCAAAACTAATATATGATACCATTTTATGCCTACTAGGCTATAATAAAAGACACACAGTAACAGGTGCTGGCAAAGACATGGAAACCGGAACTCTCACGCACGCCAGGTGTGAATGCAAACTGGTGTGAAATAACAAGAAACAGGAGGCTCCTCAAAAAGTTACATATAGAGTTACTACATGACCCAGCAATTCCACTCCCTGGTGTATACTCAAGAGAATGGAACACTTCCATACAAAAATTTGAACACAAATGTACATAGCAGCAATATTCATAATAGCTAAAAACTAAAAACATTCACATGTCCATCAACTAATACACGATTAAACAAAATCTCAGTCATAAAAAGGAATGAAGTGCAGTCATGTATCCCTTAAAGATGGGGTATGTTCTGAGAAATGCACCATTACACGATTTCACCCTGCAAATATCACTGAAGGCACCTACAGAAACCTGGGTTGCACAGCCCACCACAGACTGAGGCTGTACAGTATGTCTGTTGTTCCTAGGCTACAAAGCTACACAGCATGTTACTGTACTGAACAATGTAGGCAACTGTAACACAATCAAAAGTATCTGTGTATCTAAGCATAGAAAAGGAACAGTAAAAATAGAGCATAAAAGATTAAAAAATGGTACACCTGTACAGGGCACTTACCATGAATGGAACTTATAGGCCTGGAAGTGGCTCTGGGTGAGTGATTGAGAGTGCGGAGTGAATTGTGAAGGCCGAGGATAACACTGTACACTACTGTGGACTTTATACACACTTTCCCACAAGCCCTCCCTTTGCTTCCCTCTGATAGGACCAAATATAAAACATCACAGCTGTCAATGCTGCTAAATGTACAGAAATGTGAACTAGATTGATTGTAAATACCAAGGAGAAACTGACTGGCATAGATCACCATTAGGGAGGAAATGAAAGTGATCCTTCTTGAGGATCGGTAGGAATAAGAAATCAAGATGGAGCCCTGGCTGGTGTGGCTCTGTGGATTGATTGCCAGACTGCGAAGCAAAGGGTCACCAGTTCGATTCCCAGTCTGGGAACATGCCTGGGTGGCAGGCTAGGTCCCCAGTAGGGGGCATGTGAGAGGCAACCACACATTGATGTTTCTCTTCCTCTCCCTTCCTTCCCCCTCTCTAAAAATAAATAAATAAAATCTTAAAAAAAAATCAAGGTGGAGAGATAAAGGATTGTTTTGGCAATGTGGTTTTGGCTACTGCATGCTGAGCAGTGATCAGATTAAGGAACTTTGAATACCAATTCACTAAAATAGAGGGTGTTTAACATGGCGAGGGTATAGAACTGAGGACTCAATACTTCTGACTTCAGAAATTTGTATTTGGTTTCATTGATACTATCTGGCACAAAGGGCCCTCTCTAGCAACAAAATGATGGAAGAAATAAAACTTATCTAGGCTCTGTATGATTTTGACCTGAAAATATTTCCAAAGTACAGGGACAGGCTGGCTCTACACTACCAGAGGCTTTCAGTAGAGTGGCAGTAGCATGTAAGGGTTGTTAAGTTTGCTCCTGTGGACCTGTGTCCTTGCACAGGATCTTAGGTCCTCAATGGAGAATTTACAGCAAATTATTCTGAAGCCCGTCAGCTTGACCTGGGAGGGCTGAAAGCACCCTCCTTATGTGCAGGGCAGGGCAGGCGGGGGGGTCCTCTGTGCTGGAGCAGGGCAGTGGCTGGCTGACTGGGATGTGGTCTGTGCACGCAAGATGGAGGTGCTGTGCGTGAGAGGGGATCTGCTGCCCAGCCCCACAGACACTGCTCCCACCAGAGGGGGGACAATTCCTTCTGAACCACATGTCTTTCCAATTCTTAATGGAAATTCAGCTCCGTGATCGTCTTATGAGACCACAATTGTTTTCTTGTGTCTAACATTGACTAAAACATCGTTATGTGGCACATGGCTACAGTGACACATAATACCACATGAATAAAGCTTGAGAACATTATGCTAAGTCAGAGATTTTTCACCTTTTTTCATCTCATGGCACACATAAACTAATTACTACAATTCTGTAACACACTAAAAATATTTCTTGCTGATTGGACAAAAAATAGGTATGATTTTGATTGATTTACAAAAAATAATAATAATAGTAATTAGCTACCCTTTTTGCTCCAAAGTTACTTTTTAAAAAATCAGGTGCCTTGTATATAAGGATTTCTGCTACCAAGAATAAACTAATCAGATGTAACTTTATAATGTGACGTGACCGGTAAGATGTGACTCCATTATATGACCTATATGTTTATGGTTCAAGGCACAGCGTTCACACTGGACAGCCATTGTTGTGTTAGCTGTTGTCATTTTTTATTTGTCTAAGGGAACAGAGGTCAGTGACCCTGACTAAGCAGTCAGGTATTGCATGTTTTAAGAATTCTTGTAGCACACCGGTTGATAATTGCTATGCTAAGCTAAAGAAGCCAGACACAAAAGCCACAAAGTATATAAATCCATTTGTGTGAAATGTCCAAAATAGGAAAATCCACAGAGAGAAAAAATAGGTTAATGGTTACCATGGACTAGAGGGAAGGGGGAGTAGGAAGTGACTGCTGATTGGTAGGGAGCATGTTTATAAATGTTTTAGAATTAATGATAATGGTTGCATGACCTTGTGAATATAGTAAAAACTGCTGAATTTGTACACATTAAAATGGTGAATTTTCTGGTATTTAAACAAACCATCTCAATAAAAAATTTTTTAATGTAACTGAAAAATTGAGTACTTCAAAAAAGAATGATAGAAAGTCATAAAATAACAACATGCACTGGCTCTATGAATCCACTTTTTCTAGTCGGTCTCCTTGAATAATAATTGTTCCATTGCTCTTTATGGTTATGAGTTGTGATTCTAAGCATCCAGTATAACTGATTTAAAGCACATTGTATACCTTATTATAGGTATCAATGTTAGCTCATTGAAAAGTCTTGCAGAGCATGAAATAATTGCTTCGAAAATATACTGAGAATTCCCAAAATGAACTAAGTATATTTTAAAATGTTGAATTTGAATAGGTCAGACACTAAAGAAGTGAGTAGGTACAATTTCAAGACTTCTTTGATTTAAAATGGGTAAAAAATAAGAATGATGACATAATTTTACTGATAGGGTACCAAGAAATCTGCATTTTACCATAATATTCAGATCAAGAAAGAGTTACCAAACTGGAAATAAATGAAAAAATAAAGAAGAAGAGAAAGGGTAGAGTCCAAAGAAAACTAAACATATCTTGGCTAAACAGCTGTGTCGAAAAACAATTTGTCTTGCAATTAACAGTTTTCTTTCTAAAAGACACAGGACGTTGGGTTAACAGATTTCTTTAAAACTAAATCTGTTTTGGCTATTGAAACATTAAAAGAACAGAACATCTGTGTTGCAAGTAAAGACAGATTGTATGGAAGACTCAAATATCAAACCACTGATCAGACTAGTATTTAATTTGTTCTATTTAAATTTGCAATAAAAGTAAATGAAATTACATTCTTGAAATTATAGGTCACCTATAAATATTTAACACCAGAAACTCCTAAAATGCTTTAGAGTATAAATAAGAAAATTCTTTGTATATTTTAATTATTTTTCATTCTACTTGAGATTTATATCAAAACCAGGTTATAAAGCACTCTCACCAAAAAGCATTTTTGAAGTATTATAAAAGGGAAAACTCACCATCCATGAATTCTGTACATATTGAAATTCTGTTTTCTACAAAAAATGCACCATAAAACCCTATGATATATGAAGAATCACACTGTAACAAAAATAAGATAAAAGTAGTTAAAAACCTGCAAGTGAATACCATACACATGCTTTATAAGAAAAAATGGCAAAGAAAAAATTACCTTATAAAGAATTTCCAATTCAGACATAATTTGCTTCTGAAGTTCCAGTGTAATATCTAGTAGTATGACCTAAATGTGGAAAGGAATACATTGACACATTTATTCACCTTTAAATTAAATACAGCTATACTCACTATGAAATATAAAATTGAAAATATGGTGTTTCCTCGATTCATATCCCCCTTCTCCTCCCCACCGTTACAACCCCCAGTGATGCAAACTGTATCCACATCTGCCCAACCCTTTGTACTGGGGGAGGTGGTAGGGAAGTGATTGATGGGGCCAAGGAAAAAGGCAGGTCTTAAAGGTCAGTATTAATGGCTTTAAAAGTCAGTTAAGTTATAACACCCTTAATTTATACACCCTATTTTGGCCACATTGGTTATTTTCAGAAGAGAGAGATAGGAGTGACCCTGAAACCATTAAAAAAAATTGCCCTGTGATTCAGACACAAGGCAATAAGCAGGAGAGGATGATGAGTAAAAATGCCATTTAAAGTGGGGTTTTTAGTTTTAAGAGGAAATAAGAAGTTCTTTAAATACATCTTTTTTTTATTTTTCCAGCTGCACGATATGTCTTGGCTACAAAATGTTGGAGCTTGAAGGAAATTCAGAAATTATTTCGTCTCACCCCCTCCTGTCAGAGGAGGAAGCGGAGCTCCCGAGGAGCCCGGCAGCCCAGCAGCATCGGGCCTTTCTGAGGCTGAGCACTTCCCGGCACGGACTGGTGCCTTCTGGTTTTCCTTAAAACACCAACCACTGAGTCAGATTCATAATCAGAAGTGGAAAACACTTTACTTATAAACTTACCTAGAGTAACTTCTAGTTTATTTCAAACACTATTTTTTTAAGAAAGAAGACCATCAACTTTTCTAATTTTACTTAGCACTTCAATGAAACCAACTCAGGAGAAATTGTTTTTGACTTAAAAAGACAGTGGTGAGAATAAACTAGTTGGAAGACAATTTTAACATTTGTGGCAGTTTCTGGCTCTAGACATTTCCAGGTAAGAACTGAACATCCCGTTTTGTAACTACACGACAGTGTAGTTACACACCACCCAACTCTGACCTACATTTTGTATTACGACTGCGGAACACATCCTCGTACACTTACATTGGAGGGAAACATCCATAAATTATGAATTGCAAACTCCTGACAGAAAAAGGAAAGGATGATTCTACACATTTTATAGTAATGACACCCATTTGGGGGATGGGAAAGAGAAAAAAAAAGATATAGCCAGTTTCTGTCCAGAGTTTGCTCTAGGGTTATTTATAAAAGCTCCCACTAAACTAGTCGGTAAGTGTAATACAGAGCTGCCAAGAAACACTTCTCCAGATCAATAGTCATTTTACCAACAATATTCACTTAACATTTTTGTTCCTGTGTAAAACTTAGCAACAAAATAAATTTACCTAGTGTTGTTTTAAGTCTATGCTACGAAATATTGGTGCTGTACAAACTACTATGTCAAGTACAGTGAATCTTTCATCCTAGAAAACTCTGCTAAATGAAATTAAGTTATTATTTACCTTAAAGCAGTGATTCTCAACCCTGGCCTCATATTATAATTACCTTCATTTAAAAGAATTTACATAAATATATAAGGGTGCTTTAAATAAACCCTGATGCATAGGCATAATGGAATCAGAATCTCTGCAGTTGGACCTACCTCTTAGTATTTCTAAAAAAACTTGTCAGGTGATTTCTAACCCACAGTAAGGTGAGAACCCCTTATTTAAGGTTTCGAAAATACATTTGCTCAGTGCTTAGTATGGCTATATTGCATCTCCAGGCTCCCAATCTAGAAACAACATGACTCCACATGCCTAGCCAACACACTGGAACTAACCTCAAACTACTGGCTATAAACGTATCATTCCCTTGATCAAAAACCTTAATTGGGTTCCCACGGCTTAGCATAAAATTAAAATTTTAGCATGGCATTCAAGGATTTCTCCTGCAATCTAGTTCCAACTTGTTATTATAGCTCCTCACTATTCCCCACCACAAACTCAATCCTCATGGGAAACCAGATGATTCTGACTGATCCACACGCACCCTGTGACTTCCCCCACTTCCAGTCTTTGCTATGGCTGTTCCGTCCACGTGAGGAGTGCTTCCTCTCTCCACCCCACAGCCACTGACCGTAACACCTTCTCTGTCTTTTACAACCAGCTTCAGTGCTGCCACCACCTTCGGGAAGCCAGCCCCAAAGCCCTCTGTCAGAACTGATCCCTAGCTTTGGCCCTTTACTTTTCTTTTTCTCACATTTGTCTTCAGCATCCACGCCTCACCTTCTAAAAACAGAAGTCTAAAGAGTAGAGAGTGGTTGTGAGCCCCTTAAGGACAAAGAGTGAGTCTTGTGCATCTTTCTCTAGCCCCCTGCTCCACACCCAACACCCTGCATAGGGTCTTACACTAGTGGCCATTAAGTGGTGTGAGATTTAATTAAATTGCTCCTTATAACCATAATCCTCTAAATAAGATGCTGTTTCTAGACAGAAAGGAAATGGATTGCTTGATTTTTAAAACTGGATTTAAAACCAAAGATAGAAACACCAAAATGAATGCAAGTACCGCAGTGAACTGAAGTGTTGCAGATGACACTGTATTTGTGGAGCCAACCCACCACACTCGAGCAGGCCTTGACCACCCTCCGTATTCGCTGCAGGCCAGAACAGTGGAAGCTCCACACTGGTAGGGAAGTGAGTAAGGTAATTTCTGGGAACTTGGGAGGGAAAGTAAAGTTCACCTTAAAATAGCTACCGAAACACTCTTTCATTTTCTGGGACACTTGGCTCTCTAGGTGGAAGGTCAACCCTCCTTCCCAGGTGGGCGTTCTTGTGAGTGAGCTTTAAAGCTGCTAAAAATAAACAAGTCCAACTCCCTTTTTGAAGGCAGTGGGGGAAAGCATGGAAATACTAATTTTGTTTTTGAAGTACAAGGGAAGTAGGAACTTCCTAAATTTTCATTATTATCACTGTTTTTCTCCTTAGGAAGAGCTACATTTTTCAAACTGGAGAGACCCTGAACGCAAACTACTCTGTGGAGAAAGGGTTAAGTGCAAGACTGCAATACCTGAGTGCGCCCTGCTCTTCGCTGCACCTCCAGGACAAATAGGGATGAGTTGTCAAGTTAAATATAAGCAGTCAAGTGACTGAATTATAATTTACTCTGGGCTCAATTTAAATTAGCGTGAGGCTATTAAAATATACAGTATAAATACGGCAATTCATCACAACCTGTCATGGATGACTTCATTTATTTGCTGGAGTGGCACACTCTCCACTAAAGGGAAGGAGAACAAAATCACAGGTCAAATTAAGCTGCTATTCTGTTTTAATTCGCTTATTTAATCTGTGCCAACATAATTGTCTTTTACAGTATGTACAACTCAGAAAGGAAATTTGGGAGGATTACAGTCAGTATACAAATGATTAATCAAATGGTCCATTTAAATGCTAGTTTAAAAGCAGCAGAAACCCCAAACAGTCAAAGAATGATAATCAGTACATGCTATATGCAATGCTACGAAATTTCCTGGTGAATGGACTTTTCTCAATTAGAAAATAAATAATACTGGGAAATTCTATGAAGCTCTACTCTTTGAAAGCTTTTATAGAGTATATTCATGGCATAAGAAGGTTCTCTTTGCACGATGGCCAACAGTGTTTTATTCGTTTTCTGCTCTACTTGTCTGCAGTGGTCTCACCTCCAATACTCTCTGCCAAAAAAAGCAAGTTAGAAACACATTTCATGAGGTACATACATAGTCCTATCAAATACTTATTTTTAAAATATCAGTATCATTTTAAAAGTGTTCTATCTGAGGCAGAAATTTTTCTAAATTCAGTAGCATAAAATAAAAATGCACAGTACTTCTATTCTTTCCAAAATTTTACTTGCTTCTAAAATTATCTGAAGTGATATTTTCCCACCTTTAGAGTCTGAAAAGGGAAACATTACAATATAGTTTCCTTGTCTAAAAAAAGAAACATTTAGAAGTGCAAAAAGTAAAAATATTTTGAGCAGGAAGAGTAACAGATCTTCGGGGACTCCCATCTAATTGCTCCCACAGCTACTCAAAGTCCGGGTCCAACTGACCACTGACTTGGGAAACGGTGTTTCCCTCATCAGTCTACGCAGGTATCAGAGCCCGGCAGGTGATGCTGTTCAGACAAGGACTGTGATTTGCTGCTCTTCGCAATCCCTCTGTGACACCAGGCAGCCCCGTTTCACAGCTGAGGTCATTGAGAGGTTCAAGTGACATGCTTGAAGTCACACAAAAGTCAGGAAAAGGTCAGGAAAAGATCAAATGCACGTCTAACTCCTAACCTTTCATTTCACCCTTTAATATAAAAAAAGCTGCAAAATACTCTGGCTGAGAGCAATGGTCCATCCAAAGAACACTATGGGATATTCTGTATGTGAGCTGAACCTGCTTTCAAGATGTTTCAAGAGATGAATGAGTAAACTGAAAAACAAACAAAAGAACAAAATTTACTTATTCAATCAGTCACCAAATCAGGTGTTGAACACCTGGCACTCTGCACACGTTGCGCACAGCACCCTGCGCTAGGCTGTCCGTGCAGTGTTCTGCGTGGACCAACACGTGAGACGAGGTAAGACCTGCTCTCCACTTAAAAGGAGATTTCGACATCATAGGGCAAACATACACGTACACTAATAGCAAACTACAAGGTGGCATGCGATAACACCCATAAGAAAACAGAATTCTAGAGATTCAAAGAGGAGAATGAGTAAGTGATAGATGTACTGGATGTGACATAATGTATCTAAGTAACCTCAACAGAATAGCTTTGGAGCCAATCTTGGAGGGTGTTAGGGATTTTGGTAGGTGGGGACACAGGGGAAGGCATTCTTATTAGAAAAAAATACATGAATCAAACTGCTGCAGTGAACAGCACCTGGGTTCAGATAAGGCAGGAAGTGCAACTTAAAAGTAGCACAAGATGCAGTCATTCAAGACAACGCTGTAACAGTTGGCCGATGACATACTGTGGAAGACCCTGAGTCCCATCCCACAGAGCTTTCAGTTTATTG